CATAGATCGAGAAATGGTCCAATTCAAAAAAAAAAAAAAAAAAACGGTGAAAATTACTGGGGCCAATACCCAGCCTTGGCTCCTGGAAACCGGGTCCAGTGTCCCATGATAGCAAGTTCCCGAAAACGGAAAAAGGAGGAGTGGGGATTCATCCCCTAACACAACCTCCGAAAGACAATCCATTCGACACAGGGTCTAATATGGTCTGCAGTTACCTAATTCCCCTAAGGGCCTAAGGTGGGTGACTAAGGCGTTCCCCAAACCACAGAGGCGATAGCAACCAAGAACAAAACTGCAGTCTCACTATAGAATCCAATTTAGCAAGTCTAGAATCCCTGTCCCATGTTGTGTAGAACCATTTCCTGCATGAGGTCATGTTTGCTGTTCTCTGTTCGCATCTGGTCCAGTCACTCATGACAATGTGTCTGATGTCTTGTGTAATTCGTTGCTTGATTGCGGCGTCTGACATGATCTCCCGTCGAAAGAGCTGACTGTTCCTGTCATCCCAAATTACTTTCATGATGATTTCCCTTATTGCTTGAGCAACATAGAGCCAATTGGCCTCTTTCTGATCGTCAACTTTGCGTGTACCTGACACAATCCACTTATCCGTCCACTCAAATGACCTATTAGTGATTTGGCTCCAATGGCAAATAAACCAATCCCAAATCCTTTGGGATGCAGGACAAGTTAACCAAAGGTGGCGATAGTTCTCCCATATCCACTGGCAACGTATACATTTCACAGAAATAGAAATTCCTCTCTGGACCAGATTGACAGCTGATCCGGTGACTGACAAGGTCTGAAGCCATAGTAAACTGGCCATCTTCTGTGAGGGTACCTTATAAAGCTGATGCCAAATCGAATTTAACTGTGTCGTGGATATCGCCAGCAAGTCATGTTTCTGTCTTCGTTCAATGACTGAGTTGTTTGGCTGTTTTTTAACCTTAAACCTCAACAGAGATGTACCCACTTTCGAAATGTACTCATCTAACAGTATGGTCCGCGTCCCTAGTCTCCAACCTAGTGACCGAAAGTCTACAGCAGCATCTTCCACCGCTTGAACTCCCATTTGAGGGACAGCAGTATACACTAGCTTTCGTCTCTTCCTGGCCTGGCCACTCAATTTTCCCCAACCCCTCCCGTGCAATCCTCCCCAGCCAGTTTACTTGAAAATTGAACTTAACTTAGTCTTAACTTTAGACCACTCCCAAGAGTCTTACCTTAGTCTTAACTTAGTCTTAACTTTAGACCACTCCCAAATTTTGAATTATTTTCAAAATATCTTTTTTTTTCTGAAGGCTTGATAACTTAGTCTTAACTTTAGACCACTCCCAAGAGGAATTATCACCTCTGCTTTCGGGATTGGTTCTCGATTCAACCAGGATCCTCCCTTAGATCCCCAATGTTTTTTGCAGATCCTTTCCCACCCTCTGAGCTTTCTCTGGTTGGTCTTCAATGGTATGGTCGGGAAGGGAATTAGATTATAAAATCTGATAAATCTTGGCTTTCAGTGTAATTCAGAGCAGGAAGGCTCAAGCAGATTGCAGCTAAGTTATACAAGGCATAAATGGTGGGGAAGATGCTAGAAAAGTCGAGCAATGCCTGGCGCCCTAATTAAAGGGTGAAGAGGCACTTCTGTTACTCAATTGATGATTGTACACATCCTTGTATAGGGACGATGGACCCGATTTCCAGCAGGTGTAGCTCCCCACCAATAGATGAGCCTTCGACGCTGGGGCCTACTTAACAAGGATGCTCTTATCACCTTGTTAAGTAGGTTTTTCCCGCATGTGAAGTTAAAAAAATAAATGCGCATTTTCAGTCTAACCCCAATTTCTGACAGGCAGTCCAGGGATTACAGTCTCACTGATTCCGATACTGTAAAAACCCAAAGGCGCCGTGAATTTCCCATCCTTTTGCAGCGTACCCTTCTGTACCCAGATCGTCCCTGGTTTGGTAGAATGAGTTTCTAGGTCCCTGTGTTTCGCAACAGCATAATGCAACATCTGGGATATCTTGGCTCACTAGTAGCTGCTTCCACGACTGAGGAATAGCATCTATCAGCATAAATTTTGCAGTTTCTCCCCAACTCTCCGCACTCTTCCTGCTAGTCTAGTCCTGAGTGGATGCTCGGTTTCCCATGTTCCACTATCCTTGTTCCATGAGTCTTCTACTGTCACCACACTCCCCTTTCTATCCATGATTTCCCAAATAGACCCGCTCAGTCATGGGCTGAAAATTCCTGCCCCTCAGGACTATCAATGGGTTTTCAAACAAAACCCGATTCAACACTGATCCCTTTGTAGTAGTTTTTTTTTTTTTTTTGCTGGGAGTCTGGGATGTCATTTGGGCCTTGCACGGCTGGGCCGCCGAGGCAACCAAGGTGACCCCGGCAACCCGGCTGGTAGCCTACGCAAAGACCAAAAAAAATAAAACTGATGATAGATTGTTTCGTCGGAGTTGTAGCGACTCATCAGGAGGCTGCACCCTCGACAATCTGTGGACTCCCTGTATTGATGGTTTGGGTCATGACATCCTGCTCAGTTAATCCCCTGGGTGCCAGGGCGATCAATGCCGGCAGGCAGACATTTGACGCATTTCTTTCGATGTATATAATGGGACGCTGGACCCGGTTTCCAGCAAGTGCAGCTCCCCACCAATAGATCGGAGCAAAAAAACAAACATGTAATGACCCGCCATAACACAGACTGAGAACACTGCTGATTTGTGAAGTTCTGCCGATGGAATGGATGCCTTGCTGAGATTCCCGCATTCTGCTGTGTTTTCTAAGTCTGTATGTGTGCGTGCCTGTTGACTTGCGTGCCTGTCTGAGTGCTTGTCGGCATGAGTGTGTGTGTGACCCGCTAGGGTACTTGCTTGTTTGGCAGGCCCGTAGGGCCGGTACTTACCTGTGGCCGTGGCATTGAGGGTTGCAGCAGGGAAAACACTCAAGTAGCGGAGCCAGGGCCCCGCGGTGCTTAGAGCAGCGGAAAAACACTCAAGTAGCAGGTAGGCCGGTACCGCACCCAGTAGCAGTAGATGTGCCGGGTACTCGAGGCCGCGCAGAAGATGACAAAGTTGGCATTTTTAGAGGCCCAGTAGCGGTAGGCTAGGTCTAGGCCGGTACCAGTCCGTCCAGTCTGAGTCTAGAGCCTGTACGGGCAATATCAGAGTCTGCAATGATGTTTCCCTCCGAAAGGGGGGACGTACCGGTTGCTTGGGAGGCCGAGCGGCCTGGAAGTCACCGCCCAGGAGGCAAGCAGGCCGCTATATCAAGAGGCTGAGGCAAGAGCTCGGCCTCATTCTTCAGTGTGCGAGTTGGGCGTCATGCTGTTGGAGCACCGGTTGGAAGAGCGCTGGCTGCTACAGCGCTGCTGGGAGGAAAAAGCCAGGAGCTTCCACCTCGGCTATGGTGGAGCTCGGCCGGTAGGAGGAGGAGGGAGAAGGGGACCAAGGGGGAGAGTGGTGAGGTACCTACCTGGCTATGGTGGGCACCATCTTCATCACCTTGTTAGGAGCTGCATCTGGAAGGCAGGCCCCCATTGGGGTAGTGCCGCACCAAGGAAGCTCGGGGTAGAGTCAGGCATGGCGGTTCAGTGAGCAGCGGCATAGCTGCTTGAAGCTGCAGCGACATAGCTGCTTTGGGTTGTCCTTTGGACAGACGCCTGCAGTAGAAGTGGGATTCGGACACTGATTCTGGTTCAGCCATTCAACATTATTATTGTTATTTCTTGTTTGAATAAGAGGGGAGGAGATAAGGAGGAGGAGATTGGTTGGCGAGGAAGAAGAGCCTTGTCATTGGTCTATGCTGGAGTACATCATCTTCTTCTTCTTTCTTACTTCTTCTTCTTCTTTCTTACTTCTTCTTCTTCTTCTTTCCCTCTCTCTCCTCTCAAGTTCATTCATTTCTTTTTGCAATTGGACGGCATTGTACTTTCTGATGTATGAATACTTCGAAATTGGCCAGGATCGTAACAAAAAAAAAAAAAAAAAAAAAAAAAAAGATGGTTTGGGTCATGAACCCTTTGACCCTTGTTGAAGACAGACTGTCGACCAGCGGAACACAGCATCACACAAGCACCAGGCAACGCCGACAGAGCAAGCCAAGTGCACAACGCCGAAAATGACTCCAAGGAATGAGAGGGCACACGGATGATGATCAGCACGGCAGCCATGCAGCGAAGCACAAGGCGACACCAAACACAGCAGCCACACTACACGACACACAAGCAAGGAGCGCCGAAGGCAAGACATGGGGATGGGCTGGAAGGCAGCAGTGCAGCGAAGCACAGGGCAACACCAACAGCACAGCCACACCACACAGGGAGCAGAGCAGCTTGCAAAAAACAACATGCGAAGCAAGTGGGATTGCAGCAAGGCAGCAGCAGAGCGCAGACAGGGCAGTGAACACATCCAACATGGAGAAAAGCAGCACATCACCTACTCACATCATGAGTGAACCCCACAGACTGTTGGTTGCTACCACGCACTGAGTAAGGGACTCACCCAGATGAACATTCGTCATCGCCCGCAGGCAACACAGACATCCTGAATGGAGGCCCCCCCCTAAGAGTGCTGCGGGCACCTCAAACGAAGCATGACCGACTATTTGGCAATGCTTAGAGGTGCTCAGCTGGGCACACAAAAACTTTTAAAAAATCGGAGGAAGAACGAACAACAAAAGAAAGACAGACATACATAAAACTGTGTGTGTGTGTGTGTGTGTGTGTGTGTGTGTGTGTGTGTGTGTGTGTGTGTTCTGTCATGTTCTCTACACACAACTCTAGAAAAAAGCATGACCATGCTAGACTGTTTCTTCTGACTTGCATCAACTCATCGGGAGGCTGAACCTCGAGAGTCTTCCCAGGATGCATTTGACTGATGAATAAGGACTCACCGCATCGCCCAGAGTTGGCGACACTCGTCAGAAAAGTGGTTGACTTTACTCACACCAACCCTGCAATCCTTGCATGTGTGTGTGTGTTTTCGTCCTGCAGGCTTTCGCATGGGCTTATTTTGAGGAGAGGCACGTCACAGCAGAGCATTTTCTGGTTTATTGGGTGGGCACTATGATGGGTGCTGTCCTTGCAGCCTTCTTTGCTGCAGCCATATGGAGGGAGACGAAGGACGACACAAGGGATGTTAAGGTGGACATCAAGCCAACCAAAGGCAAGGGTAAGCAGGGGGAGGAAAAGGGTAAGCAGGAGACAGAAAAACAGGAAGTAGAGAAGGCAAACAACCTGAAAGAAGAAGTCAAGGACGAGACGAAGGACAAGGACGCTTGAGCATTTAGTGACCAGCTGTGACCCGGAGACGGCGTACTCGTTGCCAGGCGTTTATTTACGTCTTTCAGGTCGTCAGCGGTTGTGTCAGTCGCGCTGTTGGTGAACAGAATTTGCTGCAAACAGTGTGAGAGCTAAGAAGTCGCCATCTGCGGCAGGAAAGGTGGTGCTCATGCCCCATTCATTCCTCAACCAAACAGGTTGCAAGCTTGGCGGCGAAGGATGATAACACAGTTCCATGAAGATCTCCCTCTCCTCTCCGCTACATCGTCCTCTTGGGAAACCCACCTCTTCCTCCTCCTCCTCCTCCTCTCCCAATTCTTGAATGCTACAGGTAGTATGATGACACAGACTCACTCAGGGGCTTGTCTGCATTTAGGTGCCTAGATTCCGCTTTAAGCGAATGGTTAAGATATGATCCGATCTACGCTCGTCGTGCTAGGTCTTGTCACTTAGTTTATTTTGCAGTTAGTTTGTTAGCATCCGACGTACGTTCCATTTATTAGCATCCAACGTTCCGTGTGCGTCATGTCACTAGGTCTTGTGGCTTAGTTCAGCCCTCTCTCATGATTTTGCAGTTAGTTTCTCAGCATCCGACGTTCTGTGAAGTATGGAACTTACTAGTATTAGTCTAGTAGTAGTTACACTACTGACTTCAAAACGAGATCGGTCATCCGACTTCACCCCGGGCCCGCTTTGTCACTTCAGTGCTCTCGGCCGTGATTGACTTTTCACGCTGTGACATAGGGCTACCACAGTTCTCCGACTTCACCTCCCTGCGGTTTTGCTGCGTCGACAGCGATAATTTGTTAGTAATGCGAACCCTGAGAATTGACAACTTTGACGTACCGTTTAGGCGACAACTTGAACGGCTTTCAGACTTCGGCAGAGCTTTAGATTCTGTCACGCAATGGTTGTTCACGGTGCGCTGAGCATGCACTCAATTTTCGCTGCGCATGAAAGCACTTCTGGCATGAGGAGTGTGTATGTCAGAAGTGTGTAGAATAGTGTATTTTGTAGGCTCCCTTTTTTTGTTATTGAAGCCAAGGAAGGGATAGGAGTGGTGGCGTGGTGTAGTGAAATGTAGGATGCACAGAATGCTTCATACTTGGCACAGTGGGACACATGTACCGCTGGGCCCGTCGTTGGTTCCATCTTTATCCATAGTCGGTGTAGCCAGTGACGCCCTTTTTCTCGTTTTTTGTTTAGGGTTTTGCAACTCAACGACGCCTCGTCAGTGTAGTCACCAGTCAGGAAGAATGAGAGTCACAGGGCCTCGTTCCACTAGTAGATAACATTCTAAACTGTACCTGCACATCCGCTTTGTCCCGATACATGCAAAATGTTGATAGTCGCCAGTCAGGAAGAATCAGAGAGGGCCTCGCTCCACTACATAACATTCCAAGTGTATTGGGACGTCTGCTTTGTCCTGATACATCCAAACAGTTGATGATCGTCACCAGTCAGGACTCAGGAAAAATGAGAGTCACAGGGCCCAACTCCACTACATAACATTCTAACTGTACCTGGACATCTTCGTTGTCCTGATACATCCAAAATGTTGAATCGATCCGAACGTATCTGGGCCAGGACAAATTCCAGACACATGTAGAACGTCGTGTAGTGGAGCGAGACTACCCACAGTTCATACTTGGCTGCTATAATCACTTGATAAGAGTGTAGGACCACATGAAAGACCCTTTACCACAACAATACGTTCGTAGTAGGTAGGTAGGTAGGTAGGTAGGTAGGTAGGTAGGTAGGTAGGTAGGTAGGTTAGTAGGTAGGTACGTAGGTAGGTAGGTTGCTCCAGTTTTTCAGAGCAATACTAATCGGACGGTAACGAGTTGTAAGTAGGTTGGTTAAGTAGTAGTAATTGGAGTCACTGTACGAATCCGCTGCAGGTTGATCTCCCTCCTCGCAGCTGGAGGTTCGGCCCCCGCCATGTCCCTGTGTCTCACTCCTCACACTGTCAGTGGCTGTGCAGGCGGTGAGGCAACCAGGAAAGAAAGAAAGGGAAAAAATGTGAGTAAGGCTGGCTGGCAGTGGGCGTTATGAATCCTTTTGATGTCCATGCCAGCATGAAGGCATGGAGGAGGATGACAAACAAATGTCGATCGCCAAGGTGAAAGGTTTCTTGCATAGCGTCCCCGCCCACTGCCCCCCCGCCCACTGCCCCCCCGCCCACTGCCCCCCCGCCCCCCCACCTCTCCATTTGCACGTACGATCATTGTGTAGTATAACTAGCAGATCCTGTTCTATCTAATAGACAAGAAGAAAAGGATGGAGCAACCTCAAAGGCTTCTTTCTAACCTTTGTCCCCCCCTCCATCCGGTTCATTTCAGGAAAGCCGCGAGCTTCCACGGTGTGCAATACATGCAGTTACCTTTCTTGATCAGATTTGCATCGTCCTAGCAGTACATAATCTTTCTAATGACGACGATGACGTTTCTTCATCGCAGGTCATCATCCATCATCTCTCCGAGTAGGAAATTTAACGGGGCTCAGACAGACAGGCCATTGTTTCCAGCTAGGTAAGTAGGAATTGCCACTGCTTCGTATGATCATCACATGTGCGTCGCCCTAGCATCACCATGATAGTTTTGTACCTTTGTTTCTCGATCGCAGGCCATCATCCCCAACAACCAGCTATGGCATCGTTTCTTGATATCTGGGATAGCTGGTCTCATCTCAGCCGTCGTTCCTTGATCAGCACAGGCCATCATCTCCAACCACCACTCCATCCGGACCTATTTTGACGGACCAAAGTCGCATTTCCCTGGGCCTAGAATCTGCAATGGCGCAGTGAGGAAAAAAATAATTCTGGCACCCTCTCCCACCGAACCTCTACCGGGCCTGGGCCCAGTAGATTTTGGCCCGGTACTTTGTAGACAAGAAAAATGAAAAGTGTGGGAGCAGTCAGAGTGGCCGTTTACGCCAGTAAATCGCTGGTCTCGAGGCTTAGCGAGGAATTGCCGGGCGCAGTGGCGTTTGTTAACATAGCCACCATGCCAGCTGTGCAATTGTTATCGCGTCCGACCTTCGTGGGGAATTCCGTCTCAAAGGAGTGTGAGAGAACACCTGCACCTGGGCTGGGATGTTTGAGGCTTTGTAAGGAGAGGTCTTGTCGCATACAGCGGCGACGATGGCACAGAGGGGGTGGTTGTGAAGAAGAGCCTGCTGCTAATTTTCACACCAACCAACCGACCATCGCGCACCTGGCGTTTTGCATGCACTGGCTCCTCACTTCATCTTGGCATTAGATACATTGCTGCCTGCAGAAGTTCTTAAGCACTTTGGAGGACTGGTTGAAGAGATCGCGAGCGAGCTTTGAAGAAAACCCCACGCGCATGCAGCAGGTACAGCACGGTTGTTGTTTTTTCACTTTTCAAGTGTTGCCTGCGCAATGCACACCAAGATTGGTGATCTGGTTAACAGACTGAGTACGCTTGCGTTTTGGTCAAATTCGTTTTTTTGCTGGCTTTCTTTTTCCTGCAAAACAGATTGTTTTTTTAACTTTTTTAACGTTTTTTTTTTTTTTTTTTTTTTAATTAATTATCGATAGGTCATCTGACTCTTCTCAGATTGGTCCTTAGACATCATCGAGTCTGTCTGTGTGTACCATTGTGTGGCTAAGGAGCAAGCCATGTCTGCCGAGAACCTCACATTTTACTGCCTTAAATTCCCAGATCAGCGACATCTTGGCTCTCACCTGCCTTGCTGCTGCCCTGCTCCTCGTTTCGTTCGAGCATCGACCTTCGCTTCGACGCTTAGAACTTGTTGAGTGGTAGTGAATTACGGACAACCATGATCAATTTAGATGTGTCTCTAACTTCCCATGGAGAGAATGAGTCAAACATGGGGCATTGCAAGTGGGAGGCCTATGCAACGTAGAGATCAGGGAATAGAAAAACGTAAAACGAATGGTAGGTAGCTTGTTGAAGTAGTAGTTGCTGCTCTTGCTTTTGTTGGACGGCGAGCATTCACATCACCTACCGAGAACCGGTTCCTCTAGCTTCATAGAGGAACCGGTTCTCGGCATGTTGTCCCTAGTCATGCATGATCCGAACTGCAGAGATTAATGAAGATGGCTTCAAAGTTCTAACGCCCCGGGATGGCCTGGCATCCATGGGGCACACCAGTAGAGCTAACTATCTCAGCGTTTTTCGTTTTCCCTTTTCTTGGGCCTTTTCCTAGTATCTCAGCATTCTCAGGCGGTGGCGATTTTCCAGCGTGGTCATGGATGCTCAATAGGGGATATTGCCGACAAGGGTTACGGGCTGGTGCTCACTGTGTACTCACTGTATCTTTTGACGCTTGTATCCATTGTTGGACTCCTGCCGACTTTCGACTACTCTTCATCTCGTAAGTGATTTTGTATCTTCACTCTGTGAATGCTCACTGAAGTTTCACAAGAATATTCAAATGAAGAATGTGCGTGCATGCAGATAGAACTGGCTATGAATTACTCGCTGGCCCACAGAATTCTCTCCCCAGTTCCGCTTTTAACGAGATCCAAAGGGACCCAGGATCCAAGGAAAACAACCTAATCTATCAAGAGCAAGATGACTGCCTCTTCATCAATTTATGAGCCGCCAGATCAAAACATGACACAACAAGCTAGTTGCACCTTGCTCTCCTTCTTACTACTTAGATAATAGAATAATCAGCAACAATTATATATAAGCCTTCTCACGCAGATTGCACCCCATACCATTGAAGATCGACTAAAGCCAGATCCGAGGGTGAGAAAAAATCAGGGAATAGATCCGGGGATCTCAAGAAAACTCCTGGTTGAATATCAAACCAGCTGTAGAAGAAGATGTCGTAGTTCCTCTTGAACGCCGCATCTCCTTCCCCATCAGGCCATTTGATTTCCCCCAAATTCTCCCCTAATGAATCCCCCAGCCAGTTAGTCTGAAATTTTTGTAGAGTTTTCCTAATGTCTTGTTTTTGAATCAGTGACTTGAGTATAATTTTAACTTAACACCATTGTGCTCTAATTTCCGTCTAGACAAAATTTTGGATTATGTCTGAACCTTCAGGACCATCAATTCTTACCCTTTCCCAAGAAAGCACACACCTTCTGAACCACAACGCCCAAAGTATTGCTTTCCTACCTATATGGAATAAATTGGTTTGGAATTCTGATAAATTTTCCATCACTGGAGACCAGTGTCCCAAATGGAGTGCACGCCAGTCCCATGGCCAGTCCAACCCGGTGATTTTATTTCAAATATGATCCCATCTTCTCCATAATAGTTTGGCCACTGGGCATTGAAGAAATATGTGTTCTATAGTTTCTCTTATCTTTCTACTTGGAAATGCTGAAGTACAGTTGGGACACCATGGTAGAACTAAGCTTTTTTGTTCAAGTGATGAATGATCAATTAGCCAATCATTAGTTGGTAAACACCTATGAACTATTTGCCATTGTAGTGAAGCAAATTTTGCCGGTTTGTCCTTGAGAGCCTTACACCATTTAACAGGCTTGAGTCGATCATGGTGAATGTTAAGATGTCTGGCCCATCTTTCCTTCATAATGGCTATGACGTCTGTTTTTGGACGAAGGATGCGATATGAGGCGTTAACTATGAGGGAGTGCAATCTTTGAGGGTTACTTCTCCCATTAGTTTTCCATACCCATTCCAAAGGATCCAGTGGTAGCTCAACAATTGACGATCCAGGGAGGAAAACTTTCCAGTTTCTCGTTGTTGAACAATATAAGACCCTAATCCTATACATTGTAGAATCAGGGAAGAAAGCAACTCGTTTTGGTTCATTTGAGGGATTGAATGATCTTTACTTACTTTGCATATGTTAACTATCGCCCCTCCTTGATGGTTATCCAAAATCTGGCCTATAACTGTATCTCCCTCGGGCTGAATAGCTCCAACCCAGTCTGCATTTCTAAAGTCCATTCCCTTTTTGAGAAGCAGAATCCATGCTATAGGGATAGATGATATTATTTGGTCTAAATTGTTAGTCAAGTTCTTGGCATATTAAAATCTCTTTTTTTAGTTCTTCCACGGATTTCCAACGTTTGTTCCTTGAATCCCATAAGTCCTTAATTCTAATTATATCGGCTTCAACCCAGGTTGACCATGGGGGTTGGGAACTAATATACACTCTACCATTTGAATCTGTTATCCACCTGTTACCAAAAATAGGTTGCCTGAGGACCTCTTCATATCTAGAAGGTGAAGATTTGTTAGGGATGGGAAGTTTGCTTCATGTTTTCAGCAAGTCTGACCAGAAGTTATTGAGTACTAAGTATTTTATGAGCGCTCCTTTTGACCCCACCCTTCTATAATTTGCACTCTGTCTTGGTATGGTCCAGTAACGGTGTGAGGAAACCTGGGGAGGGGAATGCCTGTTCATCGCTGAAGCCATGGACAGCGGCGTCTGTCACCCGCCGTGCCCGCTTCCGAGGTCCTCAGCGGCTGAACAAGGTGTCTGGTTTATTCTGCCTGTCTCACCCCCATCTTACACCGGGATTTTTCGATTGTCTAATAGGGAGATAAGTGTATAGAAGGGAAGAAGAAAAAAAAATTAAGGCTTCCTGCTCGCAGATTTGAGCAACCGCTCAAAACACTCGTCAACAAGCTCACCGCTGACTCTCAGATTTCGGGGGTGAGGAAATCGCCATTAGCTTGGCACCGTAATCGCAAGAAAAATAATTTGATTTGGGAGGGTCGTTCAGCGGTCCACTGCAGTCAAGAGTAGGGCCTCTTACAATCACAAGTAGAGGGTCCAAATGAAAAAACCTCATGCAAGCAGTCAACAAATAATTAAACACTGGATTACCGTATTTTCAAAACGAATGACGATTTTGAGATCTACGCCGTTATGCCCAAATCTCTGTTGTTTAGAAATCTGAACGGTCAAAGTCTCTGTTTAAAAGCCCTTTTGAGGTATGTGAAGTCGGATCTTCGATTGGGTTTGCCAGTCAAGAGAGGCAATTTTAAATCATCTCCCAACTCAAAAGTCCTTGCGAAAAACTCTGCAATCTCTCTTTGAAGCACTCTTGTGATGTCCATGTTTGTGGTCTTAGCAATCAACAAGAGATCACATCATATCCATTATTCAAATCCACTCGATCAGACAGAGAACAGCGAGAACCTGATCCGACAATGAGCACTATGAGTCTGGCTTGCCAATCAACAGCAAGTGTCTGATCTACAATATGGAACAGTTCTCTCAATGAACGGTGAGAGTCTGATCTGCTTATGTGCAACATGAAGCTGATCTGACAAGCAACAGCAGGAAAGCTGATTTACCAATGAACAGGGAGTGTCTGGCCCGCAGTATGGATCAAAACTTTCAATGAGCAGCAAAAGCCTGATATGCCAATGAGCCCCAAGAAGATGATCCGGTGATCGTTTCCACGCACCTGGTCCACTTTCATGGCCCAGTTCTTTTTGCTGCTTGCTCTTTCACCCAGTCGAGCTAGAGTTTTAGACCCACAGATCTGCGTCTCCCACTGATTTCTCCCGAGCCTGTTTGACAGTTTGCCCTTTCTCCATCCCTCACACACAGTCGGAAAAGAGAGGGCACATAGTCGGAAAAGAGAGGGCACCCCCTCCTTCTAGATCTGCCACATCCAACCACGTTTCCTGTACGCTGTTGATACCTTGTATTCGTTAGTTCTTCAATGTTCGTTGCACCTGGCACACGAGATGACCAGATAAATCTACAGTTCATTTTTCACGAAGAAAGACGCGCCGACAAGGACAGAGTGTGGGCAATCATCTATCATACGGGGAAAAGTCTTCCCCCCCCCCCCAATCTGCGTACTCTCTCCCTCGCCTTCTCTCTCTCTCTCCTTCTCTCTCTCTCTCCTTCTCTCTCTCTCCTTCTCTCTCTCTCTCCTTCTCCCTCTCTCTCACTGTGCAGTCCCTCCCTTCTCTAGGACTACTTCTCTTGCTCCAGCGAACAGACACAAAATTTCTCGCTCCGCTCTCCTGCACTCGCCATCCGAACACTTTGTTCCCTCTGTTCCCTCTGGTCCCTCTGGTCCCTCTGGTCGCCTCCGTCCCCGAATGCCCAGTTCGCCTTGGTCTCCCACTGCCGAATGTCCCCCTGTACTCCACTGTTCACCCCTATATCCCATGGTACCAGAGGCCGTGGCCTCAAGGGAGCGCCTGCATAGCCAGCACTGGCAATTTCAGGCCCGGTACCAGGGCTGTAGGACCCGTGTGGGCACGGCGGTACCGGCTGCGGTCCACAGGTCCAACGTCGTTACCAACCCATTTTAACATGTTACCTGGTGACCATAATCTGCTGTTGGGTCAACCGCCGTGAACAGATAAGCAATCATGTGCCTGTGTCGAACTGCAGCAAGCCATAATGCCTTCAACCTGAAATTTCATGCCCGTTCCAACCAGTAAACCGGTGCTCGTACCGAAACAGTTACCGTACCAGGATAATAGCGCCACGTGTCCCAAGGTCGAACTGGCGGCCGCACCGTATCAACCAACCCGCCGTAACCAACAACCGATCCCGCTTACTCAACGAACTCGGGGTCATAGATCAGATCAATCAGGCAAAATTAAGCATGGGTTCATGGTTATTGGAGCTCGCACGAAATCAGGAAAAATGAATAATTCTCGACCGAAAATTTTCAAGAATAAATTCCGATAAAAGTCAATCAAATAATGATTAATCGTTTGTTTTCCCTTGCTCATTATTAACTCTGTTATTGGAATTTAATGAAAATTAAGGACAATTTCCCCAAGGATAAATTTTGATGAAATTTAATCAAATAGCAAATATCCCGTTATTTTCCTCCCTTTTATTATTTTTAATTATTTTTCTTAGTTTTAATTTTGTCGTAAGAATTCATGAAATTTGAAGGGGCATTCCTCCGACAATTGCCTAGTGTGAAAATGACGCGTCGGGGCTTACTACCGCGCCTCCGTACCACGGCCGGCTGTTTCAGGAACAGCCTCGGAACGGACGAAAACGTTAGGTGTCAGGCGCGGTATGGCGCGACTGTGCATTCTGTTAATTCCAAGGGTCAGTTTCAATACTCGACGCGGGGGATTTTAGGGGTCTCCTTCCGACCCCTAATTTTTCCCGATGGCTCGAACGAAAGTACCGGTCAATCCCTCTCTAGGCACTTAATCTAAAGGTCAATCCGTCGAAATTCGGGTGGTCGACTGACCTTCAGCCGCCCGACAACGGTCCTCCACCCAAGTGAGGGGGATGAATATATTGAAGAGTGGGAGGGGCTAATCTTCGGATCTGCTCCAGTGCCAAAGGCTGTCATGGAAGGTTTAATCCCAATGTAAGTTTTTTAATATAATGAAGTCTCAATGTTTGGCATTGGAGAAGCGGATCCAACAATCCAATGTCGCCTTTAGCTTTCGGTTGCACTACAGTATCCCAAGCAACTCTAATAGGGATGACATTTTTGGTGTCATGGTCCCCTCGCCATAGGAAGGCCTAGAGTTGTCTTTTAAGATCATTTGCCGCATTTTTCCAAGGGACCATAATACAGATTTATACCACATGGATGCGAGGACCACATTATTTAGGATGAGGGTTCAACCAAAAAGAGATGTGTGTTGGTTTCACCATTTCTTCATTTTTTTCAATGTTGCTGTTGAAATCCATACATTATTAGTATTAGGTTTTCCTTGTGTTGTGATTATAATACCCAGAACTTTGATTGGTGCTTCCTAGGGGAACCATTTGATTTTTTGGAATTTCAGGTGTCTGTCCCCTTGGGAATGTATCCACCAACTAAGCGTTTTATTACCCCTATTAACGACCATGTTAAAGAAATAAACATTTATCCATGAGTGTCGTAATTCCTTCCATATTTTGAGGGGATGCCTCCATCATAATCGTTAAATCATCAGCAAAAATGAAACAAATTGGAATTGCATCTTTTGGGATTCCTGCTATTT